AGAGAGAGAGAGAGAGAGAGAGAGAGAGAGAGAGAGAGAGAGAGAGAGAGAGAGAGAGAAATGAGAATGTTTAGAGAGAAACCCATGAGAGCAGGGACTCAAGGGAATCGCTTGGCGTTTGCAGGTCTTGCAAATTTTCCAGCTTCACCAGAGTTCAATCTTACCACTTTCCTACTAGTCTCTTGTTGTAGCTTCCAGGTGCCTCAAATCAAGCATGACTCATAGTGACCCTGTGAACAGCAGATCTGATCCCTGTCCTGTCCTGTGCCATCCTCAGCATCTCTGACACACTTGAGCCCAGTGCTGCAGTCACTGTGTCAATCCATCTGGTTGAGGATCTTCCTCTCTTTCACTGACTCTCTACCTTTCCAAGCATGAGATCCCTTTCTAAAGAATAGCCTCTTCTAGCCACATGTCCAAAGAATGAGAGATGAAGCTTCACTCTCTTAGCCTCCAGACAGCACTCTGGCTATACTTTTACCAAGACACATGTTTGTTCTTCTGGCCATCCGTGGGCTATCCAGCACACTTCTCCAACATCACAGCTCAAAGGCATCAATTATTCCTCTGTCATCCTTATTCACTGTCCAGCTCTTAGATACATAATAAATGATAGAAAAGACCCTGACTTGAATCAGGTACACCTTGGTCTACAAACTGAGATTATTCTTCACTCTTCAGGATTTTGGAAAGGTCCCTGACAGACTTGTCCAATGCCATAACCTCTCCTGATCTCCTGTTTATACTAAGTATGTTGATGGTGTATCTAAGCAAGATGAAATCATTGGTCTCTTCAATCCTTTCCCCATCTATCATGATGCTACCTTTTGGTCCAGTGCAATGTACAACCTCTCAAAAACCTACGGAAGGATCGGCAATGAGTGGGTGCTGATTCAATGACAGTGAATTTGAGTTTTTGAGTTTCCATCCATGGACCAAGAGCCTATTGATTGTGTGTCAGCTTTGACAGTTTCTAGGCACCTGGCACCAGTTGAGAGTGATTGGAAGCGCCCTAGTCCTTATCCTCCTTTAACCTGGACAGACCGTCATTAGCTGCAGTCACATCAGAGGGAACCAGCAATCCTCATGGCCTTATTCTGACCCAGCATGAGTTGAACAACAATAACATCTCATGCTGTTGACAGGCTGGTGGCTCGCTCAGTGTGGGGGTTGTGTCCCCTCCAGTAGCCTGACCTTAGCACTTCCTAGTCCACTTAGCTCGAAACCAAGATGGAATCAGCCTTAGAAGTGAGATTTCCCTGCCTTATCTACACCTGTGACTATTTCTGTCTCTGTAATTTAAAGGGTGTTCCCTGTTGGCTCGTAAAGGTAGATACCCTCTCTGATCAAGCAGACAAGAGACTGGCCTCTGTTGTTGCTTCTGGGATGGGAACAAGGTTGAGAATGGCTCTAGTTATTTACAAATCAGTTTATTATTGAATGAGACATTTACAGGGTAAATTGTATGGCTTGTGAGTTGTGCATCCATCAAGCTGTTAATAGTTGATAAAACAAAAGAAGAAAGAAGAAACAAAGAAAGGTACAGGGTGGCTGGAGCCCTGGGAGAATGCCTGTCCCTTGTTCTCATCCAGTGCAGAAGACCCAGGACGTGTGTCAGTCCCCAGGCCCAGTCCAGCCCCAGTGCCCGCCCTCACTCCCAGCTTCAGTCTGGACTCCAGCCTTGGTCCCAATCCCTGGACTAGTCCCTAGATCTATAGTCCCTCAAATGATGGCTCATCACAGTCCTAATCCAGCCCCTCACTAACCCTGGCCCCAGGGTAGCCCCCACCCTGGATTCCAGCCCCAGCCCTTGTCCTGGCTCAGCCAGTGCCCACCTGTTGTGTCCCTGCAGTCGGTGGAGCTCATGGCTGTGGAGCAGCAGTTGCTTCTCCAGTTGGTCTTGAGACAGCAATGTCTCCTCCATCTGGCTCTCCATGCGTGATGTCTGGTTGACGGTCTGGTGTGATGTCTGGTTGACGACCTGGCCCGAGGAGTGGGGGACACATAAGCCCTGCAGGAGCTCTGCCCACAACAGCCACCCACCTGCCCATGGGTCCTGCTCTTCCAGCAACAGAATGGCCTCTTTCCCCTACCTACGTGTGGTCATGAGGCCATTCACTCCTTTATTCATTGACTCTAGATGAGTTTATCATCTGCACCTAAACCTGCTCTTCCACCCCTTCTCCAGCTTCACCAAAGGCTGCTCCATTTCTCCTCCTGTTCCTGCCCCTCCGTCCAGTCCTTCCGTTAAGTCCTTCCACTCCAGGGTCCCAGCAGGATCGCCTCACTTCCCTCCCCTCCGTGATTCCTTCTCTGTCCCCAGTGTCACAAGCCACCATATTCACAGGGCTCCCTGTTCCTGCCCTGGTCCCCTACGGTCCATTCCCTACTTGACAGCCTGGGGAAAGTGTTTAAAAATGCTCCTTCTCTTCAAATCCACCAGATGCTCTGCTGGAGAAGGAGGGGCCATCTCCTCCTGAACCAACCAGATCTGATTTGACAGTACACACAAAACAAATTTTTTTTTTAAAAAGTGCTCCTTCTCTGTTCAGGCTGCTCCAGTGATTCCCACCTCTACAGAGACAGAGCTGCAGTCCTGTGAGGGCCTGTGACTCCCCACTCCCCGCTGCACTTGCTCCAGACACAGCCCCCTCTGATTCCCTAGAATCGGCCAGCATGGCTCTACCTCTGGGCTTTTTGCACTTTGCTCTTTTCTTGGCCTTGAGTCTCCCCTTCTCGGTGATGCCTTCCTGCTCACACTGTCTAGAATTGGAAGCCCCCACCCTCACCCCGCCACTCTCAACAAACAGCACACTCTCCATCTTTCCCTCTCTCACTCTCTTTTTATCCTTCGTACCAGCACCATCGAACGTGGTACATACTTCATCTTGCTCATCCTCTCTGTGCTTCACAAGAAAGTAAGTGCCACAAAGGGAGGGACTTATGCCTGTTCTGTGTATAGCGGCCCCAAAAACTCAAACTGCATCTGGCAAAAATGGTAAACTCAGAAGCCTCAGACTCACTGCTGTCAAGTCTCTTCTGACTCCTAGTGACCCTCCACCAGGTTTCTGAGGCTGGGAATTGTAACTGGAGGAGATGGTCCGTTCTTCTCCCTCAAGGATGCTGGTGGATTCGAACCACCACAGATGTACGTCTTGTGGGCTACCAGGGCAACTTGCTTATGGACTGAGCCACCAGAGCTCCCTAGGGGCCCACTTGTTCATCGCTTCATGTGCTTCCTCCTCTTTCCCTTCCTCCTCCTCCTCCTCCTCCTCCTCCTTTTCCTCTTCCTTCTCTTTTTCTCTCTGTCTCTTCTCTGCTACCTCTTTTCTCTGAGCCCTGAGCCTGGTGAAATCTTGTATCAGATTCTCTGAGTCAATTTGACTGCTTCCCCATAGACTTTTCTAGGCTGTAATCTCTACTGGAGCAATTTTTCTAGCCATTTGTCTAGGAGCTGCAGGGTGAATTCAAACTGCCAACCTTTTGGTTTATAACTGAGAGATTTGCTGCTGCACCACCAACGTTCCATCACTGAAGTCTAATGGCCTATTCTCCCTCTTTCCCAGTTCACTGTGGACTCTCTATAGGTGAAGGGTGTGTGACTATACCCTTTTACCCCTAGTATCTACCACAGAACCATCCCCCCGAGTAGAGAAATGGATGAAGGAAGTCTGCATCCTTGAGAATCTGTTCTGTGGCAGCCGGCTGGGCCATGAGGAGGGGCAGAGAGACCAAACAATCACAGAAGGTGACCTTTGTCTGGATAACGGCCTGTATGTGTTGAATGAATGGAACAGAAATTTGCCACGTCTCTGTTTTATTCCCAGCACTGTGCTGGGCACTGGAGTTCTAGGGACAGAGAAGTCACACCCATGCCCTGTGGCTCATGGCCTGGGAGAGATGGTTTGGGGTGGAGCCATCAGGAAGGGAGCCCAGGAAACTAGTAGCCTTGACTTCCCAGGGGCAAAGGGAGAGAGGACTGAGCCCTGGACTGTGAGCTGGCCTGCTCTCTGCAGTACCCATCGCCCTCCATACCTGAGTCTTCCTGTTGGTCAGCTTGAGGGTCTCGTTCAAGAGGCTGGTGCCCAGCTCAAGCACGGGGGAGGTCTGGTTCTGGACTGCATTCCGCTGGGTTTGCACCAACTCCGACTTCAGGTTCATCAGGATGTACCTCTCTAGCTGTGGGGAGACGTGGACTGGGTCACATGTTTGTTGTTACATACCATTGGGTCAGATCAACTCTTAGCTGTAAATTGCATGGGAGGAGATTAACCATCTTTTCCCCAAAGAGCTACTGGTAAATTTGAACCATGTGCCTTTGGAATGGGCAGTGCAACACCTTACCACTGAGACCACTGAGCCGCGAGATGGAGCTGCTCTGGATACCAGCGTATGGAGTGGAGGCTGGAAAAGTCTCCTGACCCTGTGCCTCCCTGTGGGAATCCACAAAGACACCAGAAGAGGCCTCCCTATCGCAGAATGTGCCAGGCCAGGCCACCATTACTTCTTGCCCAAATTCTTCCAGTAGCTTCCTCCTTGGCCTCTCTGGTCATCCCTCTGCTCCTCTCCACCCTCCCCACACACAAACACATAGTCCCTCCTGCACTTGGCAGCCAGAGAGATCTTGTAAACCTAAGTGAAGTTACATTCTTCTTTTGTTCACACCAAACTGAGGGTCCCCATTTCACCCAGAAGGAAAGCTCAAGTGGTAGCAGGTCCCATCTCCCTTGCTCATTCTGCTCTAGACAGCCTGGCCTCTATGTTGCTCTTCTAACTCAGCATGCTTGCTGTCACCCCAGGGCCTTTGTACATGCTATTTTTTCTGTCTATAATGCTCTTCCCCCAACTATCCAGATAATTCCTTGACTTTATAATTCACATTATCTCTCTTATTCTCCAGGGTATCTATTAATACACATTATCTCTCTTATTCTCCAGGGTATCGATTCCATGAAGTCAGAGATTTACTTCAGCTCATTGCATTACCTCTGTGTCTATATAATTTGGATGTATAGTAGGTGCTCAGTAAATATTTGTTTAATGACTTGGTGGGAAATGGGGAACAACAAATTAAAAGCATAGTGTCTGATGGGATCATCTCCCCAGCTCCTTAAGGTTAAACCTCCCAGTGGGGTTTAGTGATGCACTTCTTTCTCCTGTATTGGAGTCTGCAGATTTATCTGCACGTTCTATTTTCTGGGCCCCAGCTTCTCCAACTTCCCCATAGGTGAGCTTCCAAGAGTCCTTCCAGCTCTGATGCTCTGGGTTTGCTCCTGTCCATCACTTTGACAGAACTGCACTCTTTCTCGGGAGCAGATGCTGTTGGTAAGTGCTGTTGAGTTAACTACAACTTGTAGCAACCCTCGGGACAACAGAGCTTCACCTTGCCCTGTCCTGTGCCACCTTTATCATCTCTGACACAGAAGAGCCCACTACTGTTGCGGTCACTGTGTCAATCCATCTTGTTGAAGGTCTTCCCCTCCTTCACTGACTTGCCACTTTTCCAAACATTATATTCTAATCCCAAGACTGGCCCCTTCTAATAATATACCCAAAGTATATCAGACAAACTTTTACTGTCCTTTTCTCCAAGGAGCATGCTGGCTGCACCTTTTCCAAGACATATTTGTTAGTCCTTTTGACAATCTGTGGGACACTCAACACTCTTCTCCAACACTATAACTCAAAGGCGTCGGTTCTTCTGCCATCCTTATTCATTGGCCAACTTTCAGATGTACAGCAAGTAAATTAAAAGGCCATGGCTTGAATCAGGCACATCCTAGTTTTTAAACTGACATCTTTGCTCTTCAGCCCTTTGGAGAGGTCCCTGATAGCAGACTTTCCCCAATACAATACATCTTTTAATTACATAGCTGTTGGTGCCAGGGACATAGATTGTGGATCCAAGCAAAATGAAGTAATCCACAATTTCTGTCTCTTCTCTATCGGTCATGATGTTGCCTACTTACCAAGTGGTAAGGATTTTTGTTTTCTTGATGTCCAGATGTAACCTATATTGAAGGGTGTAATCTTTGATCCTCTGCAGCAAGCATTTCAAATCAGCCTCAGTTTTATCCAGCAAGATTGTGTCATCTGCATAGTGCAGATTATTGATGTGTCTTCCTTTGATCCTGATGATTAAATAATTTGTTCTGCATAAAGAGACCTCTCCAAAGTACTGGAGAGCAATGAAGTCAGTCTGGAGACTAAGGTGCACCTGATACAGGCCATGGTCTTTGCAATAACTTGCTATACATCAGAGATCTGAACAATGACCAGGGATGATAGAAGAAGAATTGATGCCTTCGAGCTGTGGTGCTGGAGAAGAGTGTTGAATGTACAGCTAAGAGAACAAACAGATTCATCTTAGAGAGGGTTAAACCAGGCTGCATCCTGGAGGAAAGGATTCTGAAGCTTTGACTGACATACTTTGGACATGTTGCAAGCCAGGATCAGTCCTTGGAGAGGGACATCATGCTTGGGAGGATGGAGGGACAGTGCAGGAGAGGAAGACCTTCAATGAGATGGACTGATGCAGTGACTGGGGTAATGGAGTGAGTGTGTTGGAGACAGTGAGATTGTCACAGGATAGAGCAGGGTTTAGAATTATTGTACATAGGTTCGCTATAAGTTGCAGGAGACACAACAACAGATTGAATAGGTATGGAGAAAGGATACAGCCCTAATGCACAAATTTCCTAATTGTAAACCAGGCAGTGTTTCCTTATTCTGTTTGTACCACAGCTTCTTGGAATAAGTATAGATTCCACATAAACCTAATTAAGTGATATGGGATTCCCATTCTTCTCAGTGTCAGCCATAATTTGTTATGATACACACAGTTAAATGCCTTGGCATAATCAATAAAACACAAATAGGCATTCTTACGGTATTCTCTACTTTCAGCTAAGATCAATCTGACATCAGCAACGATATCTCTGGTCTCAACTTGAACTTTGAGCAGTTCTCTGTGCACATTGACCAGGCAAGAAATCAGGACTAGGTTGTGAAGGTGAAACAGTGTGTAGAAAGCCTCGCCCTCACATTCCCCTCCACTCTGTACATGTGCTGACCCTTTGACACTCCCGCCCTCTCCCCTCCGCCTCTGCTCAGTCTCCAAGGAGCCTAGGAGGTTGACAAGGCAGTTCCTAGGGCACCTGGGAAGATCACTAGGGTCCCCCAAGCAGAGGTGGTGACCTGGGGACAGGGAGTGGGCTCAGAACGGCCAGGGTGGGGATCCAGGCTCTGGCCAGTTTCTCCTTTGTCTCTTTTCTTCTCTTTCATCTCCACTGTCAGCTCCTATCCCTGGATTGCTTTCAAAGGAGAATCCTTTATTGCAGGGAATGGTCTAATCCAGAAGGGGGGGCGTGTGAGAAGGAAAGATTGGTGGTGGTAGAGCTGGAACTCTCCAAGTGTGATCCTTGGACAGCATCACCTGGGGTCTGATTAGAAATACAGATTTCTAGGTCCCATATGAAATTTAGTGGATCAGGATTCTGAAGTTTCGTCTGACATACTTTGGGCATGTTGCAAGGAGAGACAGGTCCTTGGAGAGGGACATCATTCTTGGGAGGGTGGAGGGACAGCGCAGGAGAGGAAGACCCTCTATGAGGTGGATTGATTCAGTGACTGGGATAATCGGGGTGGGTGTGTGAGAGACAGTGAGACTGGCACAAGATAGAGCAGGGTTTAGGGCTGTTGTATATAGGGTCGTTATGAGTCTATGAGTCATGGATGATTATAATTACCAAATTATCATGTGTCCCTATACTTTTACTCTATGCATTTAAATGCATTATTCTGATAACAAGCTACAATATTTGCCAATTTCCAAAAGGAATCTACCAAAAAAAGGCGGAGTCTTGCCCCAGAGACTCCAGATGCTGCTGCTGGCACCCAAGTGTCCATTTCCACTCAGACTTCTCCTCTGGATGTCTTACCAGCTTGACACCTCCACATGGATCTCCAGTGAGTACCTCAAGCATACAATGTCCAAATGACACTCTGAACTCATCTTCTGCCGCCACCCTAGTCCCTGTAATGTCCGCTGTTGCCAGTTTCTTCCTAAGTTTTTCCCTGTTCAGCAAACAGTCCTCCTAGCTCTAAAGCCCCAAATGCAGAGCTCATCCTTGACCCACGCTCTTTCTCCTGCCTCTAAGATTCAATCAGCTTGTAAGTTATGCACAATATGAGCCCTGTGTGAATCTGTTCACTCCACTAAGGGGTGCTGGTGCGCTCTCCAGTCTTACCTCTCCCTACACGGCACCCAGGATGATTGGTACCGTGTGTAGATCAGATGCTAACACTCCTGCTTTTCACTGCAAAGATCACCTAGGCTAGAAATTGAGGTTCCTGATTTTTGTTTGAAAGAAACAAGCAAACGCTGAGAGCTCTGTGGTCCAAGGGAGAAAGAAATGATTCAACTTTCCCTTCACATAGCCTCCCAACCCACAGCTTCTCCAAAGCTCCATGGAGGCAGAAGACGAAACAATTAAGCCACTGCTTGTGAGCTTCGAGGATTCCATTCAATCAACCACGTGTTTACCGAGAATTTTCTGTGTGCTGAGTCATGCAGATACATGAGGGACGAGGTAGACCAAGCCTCTGCTCTAGCGGGGACTCAAATGCAAGGCTGTGAAGTTGGAAGAGAAGCTCTACCTTGGAAGGTCAAAGCTGTTTTCTCCCCTCACTGCAGTAAAGACGGTAGCATGGGGTGCAGAGTGTGGACTCAGCATCCCCACGCAGGTGTGATCTCTCTGTGCCTCATTGCTCACTCCCTGTGAAGACCAGGCAGGAGCTCTGGCGGCTTAGCCGTTAGAGAGTTGTGCTGCCTTAAAACACAGCACGTGGTTCAAATGTGCAAACCATGTAGGGCAAAGGCACCTGGAGCAAACCCACCAGCCGTTCCATGGGTGACGGATGCTCGGTCACCTCCCATGCAATTAACTGTCTCTGAAAACCCACTAGAAGGTCAGCCATGAGTGGGCTCCGCCTTGATGATACATAACAACAGCTCCCTTCCTCATGAGAGGGGCTCAGCGGGCTTGTGTTTGCAAAGCCCTGGGACTGAAAAGATTGAAATTAATATAGTCCCTATAGTTCTCAGGTGAATTAAACTTAAGTTTCTATAGTTCTCAGCTAAGTTAAACTCAGGAATTTTCCATTGTCCCTGGTAGAGC